CGGGAGGGAAAGGGACTGAAGGGGAATGTTACTCCTTCCATGCAGGTGAAGTGGTCTGCTGAAAGTCAGAGACTGTGATGCCAGTGAAAAGCAGAATAGAAATTCAGATGGCAGCTTTCAGCATGCAGTGAGATGGGCGTGGGCTGGGGGATCACAGTAAACAGTGGGAAGCTCCACCATTGCTGACCTCCACTACTTTACTTTCGGTGCTCTACCCCTTCAGGGCACATCAGCAGTGTTCTTCAGAAGGTGGACGTGCAGCTCATCCAGCAAGACATTTGCAGCGAGGCCTATCACTACATGATTTCTCCCAGGATGCTGTGTGCTGGGTACCACAAGGGCAAGAAAGATGCCTGCCAGGTGACAGAGGAGCTGTGGGATCAGGGTTGACTACTGGAGGTGGGGTGTGTCCCAAGACTCCCGAATGCACTCCATAGCCTGAAATGAGGGTGAAAAGACCATAAAATGCCTTACTCCTCCAACACTTCCTCTAATCTAAGTGGCCAACAACAGCTCTCTGGACCACTTCTTCCCAGCATCTTTGCTTTTAGACAGGATCCGAATACACTTAAACTTTTCCTTTTCTCATTTCAGCCCAATTCTCCACACTTTACCTCCCATTTTCGAGTCACACGTCTACATCAGTCTCCTACTCCCTCAAGCCTCTTCAGCATCTGTCACACACAGTAACCTGTCTGTTCCTTCATTACTATCAATCTCAAGGAATTCCTCTATCTCCCATCCCTCTGAGTATCCAGTTAAATTCCACCAGTTTCCTTGCTCTCCACATATTTGGAAATGCCACACAGAGCGGAAGGAAACAATAGAGCTGTCAGCTTCTTGGGACCTGGCTAAGGGGGAGGAATTTGCATGATGAAGGAATGCAACAATGGGTTGGATGTTTGCACTGGAGACTGTTTTTGACATCTGGCTAAGGTGCAAGGAATGTTGCAGATGTCCCCAGCATGCGTTGAGGGGATACAGGAATCTGCATAGAGTGGGACTCAAAGCCAATATAATCAGCCAGCAGGAGAAGCTGGAGAATGACTATCACCTCATTTTTCTTTCCCTCTCTCTAGGGTGATTCTGGAGGTCCGCTGGCCTGCAAGGAACCCAGTGGCAGGTGGTTTCTGGCTGGTTTGGTCAGCTGGGGAATGGGATGCGCACGTCCGAATCACTATGGAGTATACACCAGGATCACTCAAGTGCTGGGCTGGATGAACCAAACTATGAGCTGAGAAAAGTGCATCTCTCTCTTCTCCCCATCAGACCTACACTCACATGGCACTCATTCCTGATCTTGCTCACTTGCCTCTCAGAGAAAGAGAGTTTCTGTGTGGGATGCTGTCAGACCCAGGATGCTCTTTTGAGCAAGGTAAAAACAGCCTGCTGTGGGGATCGTAGAGAAAAGCCGGCAGACCCTCTCCCCACTCAGTGCTTCCCAGGGAGCATCCCAAAGTGTTTTTAGGCCATCCATCCAAAAAAGCTGGGGGCGGGGGGACACACACGACACACAGCAACGGTCCCAAGTTGATGGTTTCTGAGAAGAGGAATAAGGGGAGTTGAACTTTCCATGAACCATGTGATTCAGCCACAATCTTATGCTGGAACATTTGCTGAAAGAAAATGTGACTGATGTAGTTAGAGATTCCAGTAACTGTGAAATCAATCTGCCTCCCTCTTCCTTCCTGCTGCTCATCCTTCTTCTCCCTTCCCCTCCCATCACTCCTCCTCTTCCATCTCCTTAATTGCTTCTTTTCTTAGCTGGTGTGTGCTGTTCAGTGTGGGGTTCAGCTCAGGCAGGCAACCCTTCGCGTCTCACTGACTCCCAGGCACGAGTCCAGCATCACACCCCCGAGCACATGTCCTGCCTCCCCGCTGGAGCAGCTCCCAGCCTCCACTGCTGCACTTTCCTCAGGGAATGGCCCCAACCCCTCAGTAAAAACATTGGAGCAGTCTCCCATCCTTTTCCCTCAGCCCTTCCAAGTACCTTTAATATGAGGGTGTCTCAACTGCTTCCATCTCCTAACTCAGATAATCCAAGGAGGTGAAGGAGAAGGCTTCAGGGCACTGCTTAAACAGTGACTGCTATGGGTTTGGTTTTTTTACTAAAGGTATACATATATATGTGTATGTGTGTATATACAATGGGCTACATTCTGGAATTAGAAATAAAATTAATTTGAGGGCTTTTTTGGCTCTACTTTGCCTTACTCTGTTAAAAATTATCTTGGCATTTACATTTTTTTTTTACTAAATTCCAATCCTGGCACTGGCAAAAGTTTCCACACCCCTGCTGTCCCCCAGGTGCAGTGGGGTCAATACGCTAGCTAGATAGGTGCTCCTCGCTTATTGTCATGATTTAGGGATGCAGATACCAATAAACAAACCTGCTCTGTAGCCCAGCCACCTGCAGTGGGGATGCAGCACTGATGCCGTGGGAAGTACCTCCAGCCCCCAGAAGACAGGCATAGCACAAGCAGCATCTGGTGGCTCCAGGTAATGAATCCAAACTCCCCTTCTCCAGCTCCCACCCCCTTCTACCAGCACCAAATTTCTGCCACTTGAAATGAAAGGTGGCAAGGAGGAACAGACTGTGAATTTTATTTAGGACTTACAACCTGGTGTCCTCAGACACAGCAGCGAAGCAAACACCCCGCTCCCCGAGGCAGATATCTCCTGGTGCTAGCTGACACGACATCAGGTGCCAGCGAGTTCCCGGTACCCGGGCAGCACGCCTGTCTCCTCCTCACCCTGCCGACACAGGGCTACTTCGGGGGACAGGGAGGCAGACACCAAGGAGCGTGATACCCAGCACAGGGACACTCCACGAGCCGTGCAGGTGGCCCAGAAAAGGGCAGTGGCTCTCCATTTGCCCTCTGGCCACAAGCCCAGACCAGCTGCCTGCAACAGCGAAACGGCGAGGACTGGTCCTCCTGCAGCTGCCACCCCTCGGGGCCCCAGTCGCATCCGAGGGTGCTCAGGAAGGAACCGCAGGCTGCAGCGGCTGATCGCTGATGTCCCCAGCAGGGGCCACTGTGACATTAAGGAAAGCCAGCCTGCTAGGCATGGGAGGGGGCTGTGGGCTCCAGCCCCTAACAGCAGCCCCGGGGCTCCATGGAGCATCTGCCCGCCTCGGTTTGTCGGAGTTCGCGGGCCCCGGGGTGGTGTTGATTAAAAAAAAAAAAAAAAAAAGCTGCATGTTAAAAGTGAAGGGGGCTGGGGGATGTCCTTGGGGGGCAAGGGGCTGCCGTACACTGCAGTACAAAAAAATATATAAACAAGAAAATGAAAAGGCTGGAGTAGAGTGTCGGTATCACATCCTCAGACCTCTGGCTTGTAACAGCTAGAGGAGAGAGAAGAGAGAAACAAAATCAATGGCAGGGGAAAAAAAAAAAGCAA